GCTCCCTCATTACATTATGCGCAGAGGGATAAATTAGAGTGGCGATGCACCATGTGCCGGGGGCTTTCGCTGATCTCAGCATTCGCGCGGATCGTTGCAAGTCCCATAAGCAGGGGAAACATAAATGAATTGGAAATACACAAACCCACACACCTTTACCCATCTCCCCTGGTGACTCGTTACCGGCATAGCAGCTGTACGATTCACTACACACTTCGAGAAAAGGTTAACTCTTAACGTCATCATCCGCACGTTTTCTGTCTGTTAGTTTGTTTTTTTTGTGCGAAAGATCACTTTGTTTGCTTGGATTATCTCTGCGTTGTACGGTTATCGTAATCTTGACCAGGTCGACCTTGTTTGTACAAGAGCCGACGTAGGCTCAAGTTGTTACCTGGTAAAATATACTCTCCGATGTCGATTTCACGTGTGGGAAAAGTAGACACAGACTAAGACAATCTTTCAAAATCACCATTGATTGCGAATTCAGCAGGATATATTTTTAAAGGGATACAGAACAGCATTAATTAAGAATTTAATTGGCTTACTAATAGACAAAATTATCTTAACCACCTCGAGCAAGTTTGGCAGAATGCCCTGCTTTCAAGTAACTGTTTCCCCGATGTAATCGCAAGCTATATTCTAATTTATGAATGTCGCATTTAAATGATTGCGTAACAAAATGGATCGTTGTGAAAATATTTTACTGAACAACCAGCTATGGCCCTTGAACGACATTACGCAACTGACAAGCCAGTCGTTCGAATGTATAAATGTATATTTTGTGTGTTTAATTTGTTGTCTCCCCCGTACCTCCGATTAGGACAGTCGGCTACGTACGGTGCGAAAGAGGTTTAGCATACCGCATACATTTTGTAAAATGAAACTTATATCACATGCACATTTCACTTTCATCTTGAGACAATGATGGTGGTGTTTTTTTTTTTATTTCTACCCCATTTTAAAGCAAAATATGCCCATTCCATGTGCGCTTTTACCATGGCAATGGTTCGTAGTAATGGGCGGAATATTGCCTGCAACCATGTCATGCAGCCATATCAAAATAAAACAAAACCCTTTAACACAGAGCTGTTATATAGCATTAGAAGTGCACACGAGGCACTTTGAAAATGCATTAGAGTAAATGGAAATTACATTTTGGTTTACTCGATTCTCTGCTGCCAATAGGAAAGTGCGTATCACAAAATTCAACTTTATTTTCAAATTTCTAATGAAATTAAACATTAATGCGAACACAATCGTTCCAGTTTATTAATAACAGTAAATTCTGCTCACTAATAAAAAAAATATTTTTGATAAATTCGGTTTGAAATCGTTAATGATTCAAAATTTCGAGAATAATGAATCATTCGCTTTGAAAATCAAGCCTCTCTCACGAAGGAATCCTGAAGCATTCAGCACTTTATGAAGCCAATTATAATTTACTGCGGCGGCGCAGTAATTAGCACACCGCAATAACAACCTGGTCACCCGAGTTCAATCCCCGGCAATGGTGAACGCCAAGTGAAGAGTGATAACCGAACCAGTTCTTGCCTCCCTCCCCTTTCACCAACCTGCAACGGGCCAGCTCGGTGCAGAGCGGTGAACAAACCCTCATGACCGACTTGGTGTGCGAGGCCCCCATTCAGGAGTGGCCGTAACTTTACGCGTGCAATACATCGGAGACGATACACGCGCGTATGTTGAACTTCTTTCGCACCGTACGTAGCCATCGGATGGTGTGGGGGAACGAAAACAAATTAAGCACAAAAATCCGTTCTAAAGACGTACGTTTATAATCTCGATTTTTAAAAAATACATTGCTCCAGTGGCTCTCGATGGTTTGCAGAGAGCTGCTGCGAGGATGGTCAGTGTTTGCGTGACGGTTTATGGTCCTTGACGAGATCATCAAGGTAATAATGTGCTCTGAATGCTTCACTAGTTGTTACTGTAATGTGCTTAGAGGAGGGCCAGAGTGTTTCCTGCACTGGATGTGTGTTAAAGTTTATTTTCCGTAGTGTAGCGTTTTTCACGCTGTTAAACCTGCTCTGTTTATTACTTTGGTGTAGGTTCCCTTGATACAAATAGCTTTAAACATAGTAATAGGTTTGTACCCTTTCAACTGGTACACAAACTGACACCTTTATACAAGGCATCATGTTTGCAATAACCACAACACAAGCAGTCAAAATGCAAACAAAAAGAAGCAACTCTGATAATGATAATGATATGCACTATCCTTGAAGTTGATTGGTCCACACCCGAGACAGCTTTTCTTACAGCCTAGTCTCCATTGGTGTTGGGCCAGATGACGCCAAAAGGCGTACAACTCAAAAACAGTGCACTATCAGAGTATTGAGAGCTCTAAACATGTCAGCACTGTTTCGTATATTACACAACATCAGAAACATGCTTGAATAGTTTGACAATCCCCCTTGACTAGCGTGGGACTCACACAAACACATTCATAGGCCGAGTTAATGCAGGAGAAGTGGAAGACAGATTCAAATAGCATGAGCCGCTAATGGATATATTCAGGAATTGAAGTTAGGTCCCTGAGATCAGAGAACAGTGTGCAAACCATTCCACCGCCCACTCCTCACAAACTAAAACACATCAATATGATAAATTCCTCTGTTGATATGTAAACTCTTTTGTCTAGGCTCTCTCCTCCTCAATGTGCACGTTTGCTTGATCCTCCAACTCTCGCCTCCACAGTGCATGCACCATCACTGCCCGACTGATGGCCCTTCTCATGTCTATACGTTCATATTATGGCAGCAAAATTGTGATTTCTGTTTTTAAATTCACGGTGAAGGTGCAGGCCTCACATTACTGCTGGCAGAAGTGCCTCCCACTAGAGGGAGCTCTAGAGCCCCTCTACGGTTATTTTTAGCCGACTCTTCCTTGCTGACCAGGCATCTCGAAAGAGACTGGGAGAACCCGCACTTTAGCTCACCGCACGCGACCTGGCGATCGACCAACTGTGTTGTACTCAATCATACTGCTGCGTTCGAAAGAGGCGTAGGGATTTAAGAAACGCATCCAATGGTTTTCAACTGCCATGCTTGGAGACTGAATCGAGCCAGCATACTTCCATTACACGAACTCAGCATCCAGATCTTTAATAATATTCCATTATCGTATAAAATATAAGGTGGCCGCAGTCAATAAACCACATTACAGTGACTGCAAACTTCACCCCATTGCATCCAATTTCACGTTAAACCTGCTGAGAACTGTCCATTGAGCAGAAGAAAAAAAAACACCAGCAGAAATAAATAGGCAAGCTACCGAAAGGCTGGGATGAATTATGCTCCAACAGGGTCATTTGTTCGTGCGTTTAGAAAACCATTCAATATTATATAAAGACGGAGTGAATTAAATCCTATGCTAAAGTAGCTGGTAACATGCATCAGAGTTCCCCTGTGGCTAACTGAGACATGCATTCAGGTCTGTGACATACAATGAGCTATGAGTCAGACTAGGAGACTCTCACGGTCTGATTAGCGTTGAACATTTCAAAGTGGCGACTCGAAGGCCCAGGGGGTTTGAAGTTTGGGAAGCGGGGTTACCCGGGTGGTCAGACTGTGGCAAAAGTAGCCTCAGATATTTCCCTAGCCTCAGGCTAGGAAAACACTTTACCCAGCTCAGAACAGTCATACGTCGGTCACAGAACACGGATTCAAATTATCTAACAATAACCGTCAAGAAAACGCCTTAGGGCGTTCTACATCAAAATGTCACACGCGTGGAAGGAAACACCTCGAAGGCTACGACATGGCAAATGAGGAGCGCTTCGCCAGTCAGTGGCACGCCCAAGCTCATTGTCCCACCACGCCTGTCGAGAGCACATGGACAGGTACTTTTGATTTTCTTTTTTTTTAAATGAGGGGTTGAGGAGTGACGTGTCCAAACGGGGGAAATTAAATGCGCAATGATATATACTCCATGATAAGACGTTATTAATTGGTGATACCACGTTGGCAGTGGGTGCACAAAAACATTGTTTTTATTTCTTTATCACATTTGTCAATAACGCTGTGTCCTCGAAGGAAAATTATTGTAAGAGGTGACTTTTCAGGTAAGGGCCATTCTTCAAATCACATGTAGCATCTATAATAATCTCATGCATCATCGATAATAATCTCATGCATCATCTATAATAATCACATGCACATATGGAACACATTCCTGCGGAGGGAGCTGGTAGGAACGTTGGGTTGTTCGGTCAATGGCCAGGGACAACAGCGGCGTGGTGTATTCCGCAAATATGCCCGACTGTGAGGGTGGGCACAAGCCGGCGTGAGTAGGTTAAACGTTGAGTTTTATAAGGGCACCACGGGGTGACCAGCCCCTCCCGACCCAGCCCCACCCTTCCCACCCCCACCCAGCCCCACCCTCCCCACCCAGCCCCTCCCCACCCTCCCCACCCAGCCCCTCCCCACCCTCCCCACCCAGCCCCTCCCCACCCTCCCCACCCAGCCCCTCCCCACCCTCCCCACCCCTCCCCACCCTCCCCACCCTCCCCACCCAGCCCCACCCTCCCCATCCTCCCCTCCCCACCCAGCCCCTCCCTCCCCACCCAGCCCCTCCCTGCACGACGGATGGACACAATAATCCCCTGTGGGCTGGTGTAACCAGGAGGTTCCTATCAGTATTAAGGACTATTACCCGAAACGTTCACCGTTACGTAATTGTTTTTCTTTTGAAGGCAGTGTTATTGACGAATGTGCTGGGGTTTTTTTATACTCTAGATAAATGTACATTGGGTTTTTTTACTCAAAATAGCATGGGTGCTGGCCTTGGTGGCTTGAACCTTGCAAGACGACAGCATGACCCGCTTAGCCACACAATTGCGTGAATTACCTGCTCGTGTGAATTGTCACCAAATGCATCTGTGTACACATACGCACAGCTGAGTGCAATACACCATCGCTCCCTCACTGCATGCGAGCACTCGCACGCACAAACACACAAATCCACCGGTGCATGCGGCCTACCTTTTCGAGAGCAGCTTACTGTAATTGTAAACTCGGACTTCCAAGGTTTCACTTCCATTGATTGCGCTTGCAAGCGGCCAGCGGAAGGTCTGCGGAACAAAGGATACAGCACGTCAAGCAGAGTTAGTGGAGTCTGTAGTGGAGCACCACACAGGCCAAGATGACCCAATCAATAGATTCAGTGCGGGAGTGTACGGGAGACCCAATTCGTTGGAGAACATTGATGTGAGCTGGCAAGCACGTGTCCATTGCGTGACTGATGGGGAAGCTTCACACAACATCCACTTAGCAAGATAGCCCTTGGTCGGATTCTGTTTGCGAATGGAAATATCAAATGCGTGCACACTGCGATTTCTAGATTCGGCTGAGAATAAAAATCTCACAATGGTATTTGGACAGGTAAAAAAACACCACATATGCAGGCACGTCAGACGGTAACACCCATTGAGCATTGAAAAATGTTGATGCTCCTGCTGATACTCGTGCTGTTATGGAGTGACTCATGCTGCCAGCTATGGTTGCAAAGTTTGGTAGTACATGTTACGTCTATCGTTTATTGTTCAATTTGAATCACAGTTCCTATTATCACTGTTTCATTGTTTTTATAGCTTTATTTTGGTGATTTCGAAAACGTATGGTTAAGCCATGTTTGTTGAAGTACGGAGTTAGCCTGATAACATTATCTAAATTGTCTTATGGTTGTTATTGTTAGACTTGAATCCCATTGGGATTTTTCCACACAGCGTTGATGTACGGTGCTTTTTTATGGAAGATTTTTACTGTTTTTTCCTGGATGTTTCTGTTGCGCGTCGTCACTTTAAGAGGTTCTTTGTTCGTGTTTATTGCGGTTGAGGTTGCACCCGAGTCAAGAGCCTCATTGCTGACAGGGTTTTACCTAATAAATGAAACTGAAAACGGAACGAAACAGCTCCTATCACAAGGATGGCCACAGTCTAAGACCGAAGGTATTGGCAGCAGTTATTTGGCAATGCAGGGAGGGAATGCATCGGGGTCCTAGCATGAAATGCACATCGTGAAATTTTGAATTATTGTAATGTTTAAGATTAAAAGAACAAAAACTTACATTATTCAACATGAAACCCGTGTTCAAAGTTATTGTAAAAAAATAAACAAGATTAACAGTATACAATGCCTAAATTTCAAAATGAAAACAGTGTAATTAAATCCTGTCACTGTTAGGACACTTGTACATAAAAGAAAATACGTAAGGTAACGATGCGATTTTGAAAGTATATACTGTTTATCGCCATATATTTTTAATAAGCAGATACAGTTCTCTTCTAGATTTGAAGCTTTCGTGACTGCAAGGATTCATATTCTTGGGTTTTTTCGGTAAAGTCACGTAGGTAAAAAAATTAAACTTTAATTAATAAAAGTAAAATAAAAATTAAATTAAATAAATGTACTTGATACAGCGAGCGTGCTGTGACGGTTCCACCTGAAGACGGAGGCTTGTGTTGCCTCCGAAACGTCGTGATTTTTATTTTATTTTTATTTTACTTTTATTAATTTAATTTTTTTACCTACGTGACTTTACCGAAAAAACCCAAGAATATACAGTTCTGTTGTTTAACAAGAACAGAACCATCTGGTCCCCACACAGCTAATAGGCCTCACTGGTCAATGTAAACTCGCAGCTTGGAGGCAGCAAACTCTGAACTTCTCTTCGTCTCACAACTGGGTCGCCTCCTCCACGCACAAAAGTGTATATCCTGGTAAATAAGTGTTTGGGACTGGAATCAAAGTACATCAAATTAAGGAAGTAAGAATATTGCGGAGGAGAGATATCCGAATATATTTACTCTGCATTATAAATGACGTGTGGGTGGCAAACAGGCCCTCATCAGCAGAATGTGGGTCGGTAAACAGCCGCTGATGGGGTACCTAGAGTCAGGGCCTTCCCAGAATGCCGTGAGAGCCCTTGCAATGCAGTACAGCAACATTGTAAATTTAGTATGCATTTTGTTTATTGTGGGTAACTATGTACCACTTGTAAAGAAATAAGATTGAGTTCGTTTACTACATCCCCCAATTTACCAAGACACTTCATAACACGTTTTGCACAATTTCCTTCTAAATCCTACTGTGAATTATATGGTGGCTAGTCTGTCAATCAATTCGCAGAGTAAATATCCAAGTGTATTAATTCCAGGTAAATTTGGCTTCCTAGTGACGATGTTTATACTGGTAGGAACCTCCTGGTTACACCAGCCCACAGGGATTATTGTGTCCGTCCGTCGTGCATCTAAATAGTGGGAGGGGTGGGGCTGGGTGGAGAGGGGAGGGTGGGGAGGGGCTGGGTGGGGAGGATGGGGAGGGGTTGGGTGGGGGGGAGCTGGTCACCCCGTGGTGCCCTTATAAAACTCAACGTTTAACCTACTCACGCCGGCTTGTGCCCGCCCTCACAGTCAGGCATATTTGCGGAATACACCACGCCGCCGTTGATCCTGGCCATTGACCGAGCAACCCAACGTTCCTACCAGCTCCCTCCGCAGGAATGTGTTACATCGCACAGGGCTCTCATTTGAGGCTGAGTAGATCTAAGGGAGGCTCAAGACTGGTTCGGATCATCGTCACTGGTGTTTGCTGTAAGCGGGAATTTAACTCGGGTCGCCGGGTTCGTAGTGCAGTGTGCTAACCGCGACAATACCACCCAAACACAAACGCACAGAAAAACAGACCTTCGTGTTAGCTAAGCTACTATATTTTGGTAAATACTGCTTGTACGCACCTATCATGCCCTTCCACATTTGTCTACCCATCTCTGTTCATTAGACAAGAGCTCAAAGTATGAACTATTATTTTAGGCCGAGCCAACCTCGTGAGGTTCACGTTCCAAATGCCATCGATATGCCCAGTAAGGAATTGAATGTGGATCATCGAGACTCCAGCTCAGTGTGCCATCATTTCATTGACCGGCCACAAACACACGGTCACACGCACACACCGACGCGCACACAAACTGTCAAAGCAAATCTTCTTGGTTCTTTCGGTAAAGTCACGTAGAATGGAAATAATAAAATAAAATAAAAATTTATGTTTTATTTTTATTATTTTATTATTTCCCTTCTACGTGACTTTACCGAAAGAACCAAGAAGATGAATCCCTGCAGTCACGAAAGCTTTAAATCGAAATGTCAAAGCAAACATCTCCCAATGGGGGAACAACTCGAGAAATAGCAAGCTGAGCACAACATTAAGATTGTATCTTGGTGCTGTGTCAGCATCCCTCGTTAGGAGCATCCCAAAGAACTGACGTCTCTGCTGGTGCTTTGAAACTATAGGAGGGGAAAAGGAAGGTTCCAACTAAAGCCTGCCATAGCATGATAGAGGCATATATTAACTATTTAAAATTTTACCAGGTAAAGCCCACTCCACGATATAGCTCTTTTTCAGACAAATGATAGCTCAACAAAGTGGCTTATCACGTGCAAATGTATAGCAGTAAAATACTCTCAACGCGCGTTTCTAAAATGTAGAGGGGAAAAGCAGAGGACTCAGAAGAAAAATCCACGTGGCCACGGGGAGAGAGACACATGCAAACTCCAAATATACAGGCATCAGGGTCGGGATCGAACCCATGACCTCCTGTATATACCAGGTAAGCTAGTTAACATCTCTCCACCATGGCGCTTACATGAAATCTCCGATGATTTCGGGGTTATGCGAGGAGAGAACCCTCATTGCCAAGAGAATTTCGTGCCCCGAGGGAGTTGCTCTCGCTGACAAGTTGAACTTTACAATTCACGCCGCACCACGCAAAACAAGCTTCTGTCAAATGTTTCCCATCTATCACCGCGGTCATAACAACAGTGCGCCTTTTGATCATTCCAAGGGCTGGTTAGCATTACGCACGATAAATAAACATTGATGTATATTTCAGGGCACCTGTGCCAACGGGAGAATCTGTGATGAAGTGTGGAAAGCAGAGCGCAGTGCAACCACCCAGGTGCACATTTCATCAGCACGGTAAAGGTGCAGCCCTGCAATGACATGCTCCCACCACGGCTAGCAGAAGGGGCCTTTGCTAGCGGGTATCTCTAGAGCTGTTCTACACGGTATTTTTGATCCTACTCTTCCACGCTGGAGGAGCCACATTTTACCCCCACTACACGTGACCTGGCACGTCAACAAGTGGTATACCCACCAATATACTTCTAGGTACACAGAGGCAGGGGCATTTGTGAAATGTGCTCATTGTTTCGACTTCCTCTGTATTGCAAATCCAGTGCGCGAAACCACAACACCGCAACAGTAGCACTGTGATGTTAAACGCAGAAGTTGGAAAGATTTGGTCACTTGACATATGGTATGACGATATACAAATTGGACACTGCAGGTCACAAGATAACTACACAAATTTGTAGTGGTAGCACCACACAAACCGAGATGACCCAATCAATACAGTCAGTGTGGGAGGTGCAGAGGAGACCCAATTCGTTGGAGAACGCGGTTCCACTGTGCGACTGATGAAGACGCTTCAAACAACATCCACTTCGTAAGAAAGCCCTTGGTTGGATTCTGTTTGTGAACGCAAAAAACCCAGAATGGAATTTGGACGGGTAAAACACAGATGCAGGCACGTCAGAGGGTAACATCCATTGAGCTTTAGAGCTGGGATTCTTGGTTCCACAAGCAAAAGCAAGTAGACTACATTTCCTTTTTGAAAACACATTTCAGGTAATTTACAACTTGTCGAAATGATTGCAGACAGTTTACAGGCAGCAGTTTGGAAAATGTACATTGTTCTTAATCCACCAACACATAGTGTACAATTAAAAACGCGTCTTTTAAGGGTGTACATATTTAAGGTGTAAAGCTTCCACCTGATTTTATTTTTTGGAAAACTCCACTCAAGCCAAGTGGAGAATGTAACCGATTGCATCATTCGAAATCAACAATGTACCCATACACTATTTGTAAATGTATAAATACCAAAAGGCTTCTGACATTAAGAGGCAGGTTACTTCATGGATTCAATCCCCTAAAATCCCCAAAAAACCTGTAATATGGACTCCAAGAAGTGTTTAATCGCTGTAGAAAATTGAAACACCTTCAGGGCCTTCCA